GCTACATATGTTGGTAATGTTGATGAAAATTTCGTTCAAGATGTTTTAAGATCGTTTCTTCGTGGTTACGTTTCAACAGAAAGTTAAGTAACATGATTAGACTAGCTGATATCCTGAGAATTATTTTTCAAGAAAACATATCAGCTTATGCCAGAACTGGCTACTGAATGTGTTATTCGTTATCGTTTCCAGCATGGTCATGCCATGCTGGAAACGATAACTAGTACAGAATGATCATTCTCGTAACCCAAGATTATCAAATCCGTTTAACAATTAGGAAAAAGTGACTCGTGAGTAGTCTGTTTATTATTTCTATTGAAAATTAAGTCGCAAAGAATTAAAATATAGGAGAAATGATCATGATCACGTCCTTTGCAAATTAAATGCGAAAAAGAGATTACTACAAAGAAGTTAGTAAAAAAAGAAGTTACACTGAATGTATTGTATTTTTTCTAATGTAATACAGTAATGTCAAAATTACTATGTGAATTTATTTAGTAACTTGCTCTTAGTAGGGGAGACCGAGGCAGGTTGGAATAGTATGTAGTTTGGATTTGTTTATTGAATAACTGTTAAGTTATCATATTAAAGGTCATGTCATCAGATGTGGCAATTAGTTGGATGTCATTATTTATTATCTGTTTTAAATGTTTTATAAACAGTATTTAAAAAAATATTTTTTCAGAATTTCGTTAGTTTCAATTTACCTCGTATTTGGGGTGTATTGGAACAGAGCATGGAGTAAGTTGGAACTTTAAATTCTGGCTAATGTGAAACTATGGCAACTAATATGTATATTTTAGAGACATACGTCTTTATTCTTATGTTGAAAATAATTAATTTCATTTGAATATCATACTTTAGCCACATAATGGTCACAAAGACCAGGAGATATTTTAAGATAATTTTATACAGAGTCATCTGATCACAATGATGGCATACGTAGAATGGATTACTTTTCGTGAATTTTTCATGTGACCATTCTTTGCACTGTATGCACTGCATCATCAACTTTATTATTTTCTGTCCATGATGCTGGGATCTGTATTGTTCACTTTTGCAACTTCATAAGAAGGCCGCCAAACACCATTCGATGCAAGGCCAAAAGTAAATGCTGCTAGCTTCCTCAATGTAATGACCTATATCGCTTTCTTGAGAATCGGTAAAGATCTTCTTTGGTGTTGCATAGCTCATTTTCAGTTGTAGATGTGAGAAGTCGGACTTCGGAAAAAACCCCACAATTTTATTCGGGAATTTTTTGAAAGAAAATTCATTTTTCGTTTTGAAAAGGAAAATTATTTAAATCTCAGAGAAAAAAACTTTTCCATTTTATTACCGGAGGATGAGTGCAATTCTCTTCCCGGAGTCGTTTCCTTTCCCAGGGAACTCAGAATGTGTCACTGGGAACTACAACAAAAAATTCACTATTGGTGGAAAACGACAACATGAGTTGGAAATAAAGAGGAGAACTGAAGGAACAGTGAGAGGGGTCGAGAGTCTGCGAGAATATTCCCTGTATGCCAGCCGAAAGGATTTACCATCATCGCTCGTCACCGAATATCCAGTGTTTCTCCGGGAACACTTAAGAAGAACTAACGGATCTCAACTTTTGATAGACTTTAACCGCCATCCAAGGCAACAGAGACATTCCCAAGGCTCCTCAACGACTCCACAGACATTTGGAAATCCGTACGTAGTGCTTCAGGTATTTATAACGACCCGCGATGTTATGTAAGCTCTCTCTCTCCAACTCGGTTCTCGCGAAGAAACTTTAAGGTAAATACCCTTTTGTAGAACCAGTTTAATAAATAAATTTTTTTATTGTTAGAATTGTGTTGGGTGCAGTTCTTCAAGCGGTCTCCGTCCCGAGTCCAACCGCCCACAGACGCGACTACTCGCGCGTAAACGCGAACGTAACGGTCTCTGTGTCTACCCAGAAGACACAGTGGTGTCAGTCCTGATAAATTTGTCATTGCAGTCTTCGCCGACGCAATGTTGACCCTTCGGTCCTGTGGTGCCGAAGAATACAGATGACCCTTCGGCATTGTCACATAATACGATACATATATCTTCATGAATACATTTCTGGTGAAACGGCAAAGACGGTTGTGGGTGATACCTGTTAGTAAGAAGAACAAACATGACATCGAATGGGGACAAATAACGTGTACAATATTTTTGCCAAAATGCTGCCTAGTTATTAGTATTCTTCTTAGCTTTCTTCACATTTCGGTATAGAAGTCACATGTGGTATTTTGCTAGCCTTTGCCACAACACGAACAAACTCGTTCGATTTCAAAACACTTCTGACTGCATTCAGCATTATCTCTTCACTCACTTCTGGGCTTTCTTTTATTGTTTCGTACCATCCTGAGAAACGGAAAATTTGTAGATTTTAAATACATCGCAAGTACGATGCATGTTGGAACAGTTTCAAATTGCCCCATCCCATTTGTTACTATGTGCCTCAAGAGTTCTTTTCGACGACTCCATTTAATATCAAAACGAAACTTGGGCGTGCCTTGTCTAAACTTTAATAATTCTCCGTGATAATACTAATTCTTCTTAAAGACCAATAAAGAAAAGATTATCAGAAGTGTATATAACAAAAAAATAACAATTCTGACATTAAAAAAAAAGTTACTCCTCCGTCCGGAAATAACAAAAATCCTTCAAAGTACAATGTTTCCGCCGCCATGCTCCTACCATTATATCAGCAATTCTGTTGTTCCCACCCTCAGATAACAAGATGATGCATTTTATAGATTGCACAAACAAATAGCGCAAATGTTTCAACATACCCTGTCCCAGTTTCCCCTACTTTAATTCGGATTTTTGCTTAATTTGGGCTATTGGTACGTCACAAAAGATAGAGAGTAGGGGCAATACAATATTTCTATGGGGCTATGATCCTATTCTGAAGAACGGTTAGATAAGGAGACCCGAGAAAAATCTTCCATGAGGTCCCCCCGTGATTTTAGTAACGTCACTGCGTTTAGTAGAAAAATTAAAAATTACAAATTGATTTAAGAAAACCTGAAAGTTCACTAGGAAATATATTTGACTTCAACAGAAATAAAACTCAGAAACTTTTTACAGATAATTTAACATTGAAAAACACAAAAAGAAATCTGTGGAATGTTTTAAATTAATTTTTACAATACTGTATGAAAATAAATTTGTTGATGCATTTTATATCAATTTAAAACAACGTATTTGAAATTTTTAAATTTAATTATTTTAGAATATTTATATCGAATACATAAATACAAAATCTTATATTGTAATTTTCATTCTCTGTAATAAATAAATATTTCAGGGAAAAATTAAATTCAAATCGTAAAAAGTAATTGATATTCTGATACCAAAAATTTGAATCATTTCATGATAGATCTGTTGCCATTAGTCACAGATACAAATATTATCTCGAAGCGAATTTAACCGTAAAATTAATAAATGGTTCAAAGCATTTTATTGATGATCTACCAGAAATGATTTGAAGCGAAAAACATTGGTAACAGATGGCTATCCATAATGCTAATAAAATTACAAGCACTGGATTCTCTTAGTTAAATCATTCTTCAATTTTTAATTTTAATCTCTAAATTTTATCCGTAAAATTTAATATGTGATATAGTGTTAAACGAAATGAAATTTAGATTTAAAATTCTTTTTAAAGAAAAAAAAATTGAAGTAAATATTTTGTTTGTTTAACAACAATACGTAATTTTATAATTTCTAGCTAAAAAATAATAATTTTAATATATTAAAAAATAAAAAAAAAACGCTTTTACAATTCAACAGTGCATTTAAATACACCTATCTGAAATATTTACAAATAGGATTATTGATTGAATTATATTTGGTCATTTTGTTTCGGAATTGGTGGCTGGCACTATTACACAGTATACATCAGACAATATATACAATATATTTTATAAACACATTTAAAATATCCGTGTCCATTTAATATTACTTATTACATTCTACACTTGGTTAAGTTTATGGAATGTCGGAGTGAGACCGCTCCATAAAACATCAATAAAATATATTACAATCGGACTTGGATAGAAAACTGAAACTTTGAGGGCATATCTTAATTAGAAATGGATAAAATTTGAAATGCAAGATTTGAGGATATTATACGAATGAAGTTAAATAAAAGCGTTTAATTAATAATACTGTAATAATAAAACATGGGTTATTGATTTTTAAATGCATTACATTTACAAAAAATATTTTAATATTTCTCGTAAATCCCCATTAAAACATTTTATTTTTAAATGAGATTTTTATAATATAAGTACAATTTTAAATCGGAATACACAGTATAGTATGGCCTGCCATACGCAACTAATACATTCTAAGATGTCTGGGGTAAGCGGAAAGTCGTGTAAAATAGTGAACCCCATTAATTATTTTGTATTTCCTATACTAACATGCCTATCAAGCATTTTTTAAATTTAAATAAGACAAATAAACACTATATTAACAATAAATAGTACGATATCGTAAATGATATTTACTTAAAAAATTTTTCGGAAACAGATTTTTTCTCACTAAATATAGTTTAGATTTTTTCCGTTTCTCTGCCTTATCTGAGCTACCATCATCACTACCCTTGCGTTTTGGTGCCAGGTTTGCAAAGTACAGAGTAATTAGCTTAAGTGAACAAAAAAGCATTGATATCACATGGACACGACGTATTACAAGCGAGAACTCCGGACAGAGACTAATGCGAGTCCCAATGTTCAGCAAAACAAAAAAATGAGTCACAGTAACACAGAACGTGAATAAGCGAGATGTTTGCATTGCACCTTAAAATTTTTGGCGCGGATTTAGCGCGCAATTAAGAATTTTTATTTTACGTATGTTTTTTATTTTTATCGGATCAGTAATAGTGTAAACCTAAAACTGCCTGTGCTGAGTCCGCATATGGTGGGGTCCTACTGTATAACGTTTGGTGTAATATTTTTCCCACCATTATCTTTTTTTTTCAGGAACATTGATTTACCAAGTTAAAATTTTTCTACTGATTTGGTTTGGATTCATAAAATGGACATCATCGTGGGATAGAGGCTGCGGTGAGTTATTTCGAACTACATATCCCTGCTTAATGCTACATAAGGGATGTAAATTAATCCAAAGTACTAGGCAAGATAAAGGTAAATCCTTTCATTTAATTTCTATGATTAAAGAAAACAGTTATGCATATATATTTTCTATTGTTCTGCAAGATTGGTGTCGCAACAACAATGGAGGATGCCAACATTTATGTGAAAATCACATGTTTGGACCAAAATGCAAGTGCAGAAAAGGATATCAATTAGGATCAGACGGAAAATCGTGCAATGGTAATTACTGAATTATACCGAATACTAATTAAATTGTATTTTCTCCACAATTTCAATTTGTGACCGTAGGGTCGGTATCTCTTCGACACCACGTCAGGAGACCTGAATCTGACACCACCGAGTCTTGCAGGACTCGAAAATCGCGACGTTACGTCACGCGAGCGGTAGCGGGTGAGTGATTGGATTCGGAGTAGAGGTGAGGAGAGAGACGAGGAAGTAAATTAATTGGATTCCATGGTTGCTAACAATTAACAATTTTAATGAAACTAAAGGAAATACAGAGAGAGTCAATTTCGGTCATAGTTCCCCTATTCAAGAGAGGCCCGTCGAGAGAGAGAGAGTTTACAAACGAATCGCGGGTTGATAAATACCTTGTCGATGGACTGTTCTTTCCACTAGTTCCGAATCTTGTGTCCCGTTCACTGGTGTAGAGGCACGGAGGAGGGTAGAGGCTTAACCAGGCACGATTTTTTCTCACGGATTTAATCCTGGGTCACGATTTTAATTCTGGAGGACGACTTTGTTGGGCGGACTTTTGAAGACGACTCCCCTCTTGAGGGTTTTTGGTTTTTTCTTTTTAAATCCTCTTGGGTTTTCCCTTAGTCACGTGGTTGTTGTTAAGGGTCTGGCGTCCAATATGGGCTCTCCATCGAAAGTTCCTGGTGACACATCCCTGACTAACTGGATCCGACTCAACAAACTCCGTGGGAAATAATTTTTATGGCTTTTAGCCTAACTCGATAAAACGCTCGAATTTAACCGATTAAAGTTTCCAATAATTAAAATTTAAAATAACACTTTATTAAGGGTCTGTTCGTCCCTCACAAATTCAAATTTTCGTTAACAATAAATATTTATTAGTTTTCACTTGTAAATATTTATATATATTGTAAATTAAATTTTAATGTACAGCATGCAGCAGAATTTTATTGAACTCAAATTTGTTTTTGGTGTACAATGTATAGTGCAAACATATTTATCGTTATACATTAACTTGTAGGGCAACAGAGCATCACGGTCAAAGGCTTTTTTCAGATACTCCGCCATATGAAAATAGAAAGAAAAAACTCATTTGGATAAATAAAAGTATCTCCTTAAATTTTATATTTAAATTAATGTTAATAAAATACAATTAATTGAAATTTGAAGCTAATTTGCCTCATACTTCATTCGAAAATGAAACTCGAAGAAAGTAGCATGTACTGAAATCTATTAATGAATTCATGAAATGCATGCGTTTTGGATGATTCCTTGAAATGTTCCGTAATCTCTAGTGAGTGGGAGAAATTTTCATGTGTTTTGCAGTTCTGTTGACATTTTATAGCTAGCAGAGTGGTATAGCTATATTTTTGCGACGTGTAACGTTTATCTTTAGTTAAAAAAGTTAAGTAATTAAATAAGTGGGAAAGAAAGTAAAGAGAAAATGTGATATCACCAAGGAATACAAAATACAGTAGAACCTCGATTATCCGTACTAATTGGGGATGGAGGTAGCCCAGATAAGGGAAAAATTCGGATAATCGAAACAAATACTTTAATTTGTCTTTTAATGATAATACAACACGTTTTCTTTTCGATGACATATCGGTAATATTAAAAGTAAATACTGTATTTAAACCGTGATCAAATTTTCAAGAAACAAACGTTCGTATTGAATTTGGACTACTACTGACCAACGCTAACAGACTACCTATTGTTTAAAAGGCCCTCTGGTAGCGCAAGAAGACGGATTTTATAAAATAAAAAGCAGCTGAAACTGCATTTTTATGAATAAAAATTTGACAAACTATTTATCGTCGAGTAAAATTTTTTCGTCGCGTTCGCGGCTTTTAAGTAATGCATAAACCTTGGAAACGCGAGGACCTTCGGACCGCGAGGCATAGGCGATGGCACAAGTTGCCCATGCCTTATGCCGCCCTTGGTCATAGAAATGATGTAATTTGAAAATAAATTATTTATAAATACGTATGTCAAGTTATATTTTTATTACAACGCAAAATATATTTAAGAGTTTATGGCCACTGTGCCAGGTGAGACGTTGTTGAAACAAAAAAAGTTATGCATTCCATCACTTACTGTACATAAACAGTATCGTAATTCTCCAAGTGCAAATCAGCAAATTCGTAAAATTTTTGTTTATTTTGAACAATCCGGATAATAGAGGTCCGGATAATCGGGGTTCTACTGTACTTCGATCACTAGAAACTTGCAGAAAAAACTAATATAATTTTAAAAAACAATAATTAGAATTTTTGCTAATTCGAAAATTTTCAATTTTCCTTGTGTTCGAATTAAAGAGATTCTTCTGTACTTAATTAATTAATATAGTTATACTTCAATTGAGTAAAATACTAGGATTAATTAAATACAATAATTAAACAATCTTACCTTCTAAAATTGATTATGATAACAATGTGTATTTTATATAATTAATCTTGTATAACTAGTATTCTGATTGAAATATCTACGAGCTATACATTTAATAACTAGTCTCATTAATTGCCGATTTTGTGAATTGATAATGATTCCAATTGAGCCATTTTTTAAAATAAATTTATTTATACTGTATATTGTAAGGGTTCTATTAAACTAGTTGTAAAATAGATTGGATAATACTGTACTAAGAAAAAATGACTTGTTCAATACTCGCACTAAATTTTCTCTTATATGGCTATAGATTTATATTACGATAATTTTCGTTATATTTAGTTTAAAACGAGAAACTTTTATTTAAGTACTAGAATCCAACAAAAAGAATTTTCAATGAAAAATTTTATCACGTCTATATCTAATTGTTATCTATCAATATATTAATTAATTTAATTAAAGTTTATAAATTTTCCGTAGGTAATACATAATGCATTTCTCTCAGTATATTATCTTTGTTTTAAAATGATTGTAGACTTTGAATTTTATTGGTGAAAAATAAGGAATAAAAGTTCAAATAGAAAAAGAAAATTAAATAGAAATAAAGAAAGATATTTATTTACTAAAGCTCAGTTAAGTTTTAAAAATTAAAAGATATTAATAACTTCAATTTTAAAATAATTTTAAAAAATAAATATATTTTAAAATACTTTATTTAACTTTTTCTAAACCAAAAATAAATAAATAATCTTAAAATTTTGTTTATATCCTTAACAACAAACGATAATAGTAATTCCTATTCCTATCTACTGGAATGTTATTCCTTAAGTTAAAATGTTTTCTGGTTGAATCAATGTAAATCTTATTGTTTAAAAGCAATGATTTCGAAGAATGCAGTGAAATGTTCATAATTTATGAATGCAGCAGAATATTGTAGAATACGAAGCAGAATAACTTATTTTATTATCAAAAGATGGCGCAAGATTCTATTATCCGTTCCATTCATCCAAAATATCAAATTTCTGAAAAATTAATATATCTTTTGTAAATTGTTCGATGTTTACTTTTCTTTTGCTAAATCTGTAAAAATAAAATTAGAATAATAACGCTTAAAATAACTGACTCAAGCTAATGAGTTCAATGTAAAACTATGCCTCCAGTTTTACAATGAGTTTCTGCCCGTCTGAATTAATTTTTCAGTTCTGTCCCGAAGGTATGGTACTCTCATTTATTGTTATTAGAGGAATTTTATCCAGAAAAAGAGGCAAAACAAATTTAAATTTATTTTTAATATATTTTACTTATTGCCAAATAAAAAGGAAATTGCAAGAAACAAATATGTTTTTAAAACTGTATAATAATTTAAACATTTATTTATTATTTGTAAGAAACTAAACTAATTGAAAAACTAATTGAAATTTTTGACAGATGTTTTCTTTAATTGAAATTAAAGGAAAGATCTGTCAAAAATGTGCCTTTTGTCCCAGTTATGCGTCACTGGTCTAAACATTTTTATATCGTCTGAGGCTGATAGGAAAGATTTTGTATAAAACGTTAATTTCATCAGTTTATTTGACAACCGAATTAAATAGGTAATATTTTAAGGCAAAATAATAACAATTCTTTAAATAAATAATTTAATGTAAAAAAGAAGTTTTTACTTAATTAGTAGACTATTATAATCTGAATATGAAAATTTCGAATTTAATCAGGTACAACTGAATAATTACTATGATAAATGCTATAAATACGTAATATTAAAATATATCTGTTTTATATTATATGCTTTTTGCAAAGAACAATGTTGCTTGAGAGTACCGAGTGGCCACTCTGCCCAAATCTGATAGTACTGAATATCGATTGTCGTAACTCAGGAGGATAAAGAACACAATTTCAAAAACTGTACTGTGCATAGATATACAGTGGAAAAAATTAAATTAGAATTTAGGGTTTCTGAAACGAGATTCTGGGATCCCGGGATCCCGGGATCCCGGTTGTTTTTTTAACCCGGGAAATATCCCGGGAAATTTTTCTTATAACGGGAAATCCCGCAAATTTCTTAAAAATTCACTTTTTTTCTTATTTTGTGTTAAGGTTGAGGAGTTTTGCAAATAGAAAGCATAATTAACTCATTCACTGCCAGAATACATTTGTATTTATTAATTTTAAACCTACCTATTAGTTTTTTTAAATTTTTGCTCGTTATAGCATGTCACAAATGGTCAATAATCAATATATAGCTTATTTGTGGCATGACTATAAAAATTCTTTACTTGTCGGAACCTGTAATATCTGGAATAATTGTGCTTACGCTGTCTTGAGTTTTAACCATGCCCAGTAGCTTCAATAAATGCCTGACGCCAGATTGTGCAAATTGGGCAAGGATACAAACGAGTACAAAGTCTGCAAGTATGAAGTTTTTCTTCATAAACCTGATTATTAAAGCCAAATGAATTGCCGAATTATCGAGCTCTAAGCTTGATGCCGCTATTAAAGCAGCCAAGGTAGACAAATCAAGAATACTAGAGAGCGAAAGAAGTACTACAATCTCGAAAACGAACTCGAAAGCTTCCAGGCTACAGGTGAAAAAACACATAATATCTGTCTTCTCTTAAATGCATTAAACACTATTCCAATCACATCAATTGAATCGGAAAGGGCATTCTCGGTGGCAAGACTTTTCATTACTAAAATAAGAATTAGAGTGAGTTATCGGAGTATTGACCATCTTTGCTTTTTAAAATCTTATAAAAGTTTGCAATATTTTGTATTATATTTTATTTAAAAAACGAAAATTACCTTCTAAATTAGAAGTTCATTTTTTTAATTTTTAACTCAATTCAAAACTTTTTTTTTGTTGTTGTTGTATGCAGTTTCCAGCAAACTTTAATTAATTTTTTTCTATTTGTGAAAATTTCTACGTTATTTAAAGGTAATTTTTATTATAGGCCTATAGACCTAACACAGCATTATTAATATGATTTTGGAGGTTACAAAACTTTAAAATTACTTTAAAAAATGGAAAATAATTATATCATTTGATTTCAAGATATTTTGTATACCTTAAAAATAATTAATTCTATCCCGGGATTTCCCGGGATCCCGGGAAACAGTTCACTTTTATCCCGGGATCCCGGGACAAGCAAAATACCGGGAAATGAGAAACCCTATTAGAATTCTTTCCGCAAATTATTATAATGCAAATACTCTATACGATCGTCTTCAGTTTTGTTCATTATATTTATTTCTGACCCGAAATGAGACCAGCCAAGGTAAAATTTTGTATTTCACCTCTTGCTTTGGATAAAAAAATGAAAATCGCAACTTCGAAATGTGTTTTAATTTTGATTAAATGAAATAATGTAAATTCTACTTATAATTTTAGCTAAATGTAATTTAAATTTTATTTAGAAAAGATATAATTCAAACGGATGTTTTTGAAAAAAAAACCCAGAAACAAGTTGCTTAAATTTCCCGTCAACATTTAAAATTTTGGTGGCGCCATCTGTTATGATATTATATTAAATTTTTATATTTTCAATTATTATAAAATGACAAAAAGTTTAATTTTAAAGGCAGGGACGGGCTTTATATATATATATAAATTCTAAATGCTAATAACGAGTAAAATCGTAATTAAGTTCTACCCTACTCGCGATATGACACGCCCTCCCTTTAACTCATCAGTCCGTCGACTTTAACCACCAAAATTTAATAGCACCAATCCCCTAAAAAACAAACCTCCAAACCTCCCTGCAACATTTCAGAAATTTTCGACAAAAAGCACAGAGGTTATTAAGATTCAAACAGGGTGAACAAAATCGTGCCCCCACACAAATATCCATATGTATAGAAAAAAACCACGAAGTTTCAAGGTCCTTGAGTCAAAAAAATGTGAAAATTGTGGGGGGGTCATTTTTTGACCGATAGCCATACTTTCCCTCTGTTGTATATAACAGATCCGGGATAGTAAAAATTAAAAATTCTAAAAATGAAACAAGATGTAAATGATGTTTGGTTTTGTAAAGCACGAAACAAATACATAATAGCTATGTATTAGGATTTAATTTTGACTGTTATTAGGGCGCTTAATTCGAAATAAAGTTAGCTAATACAATTGGGAATGATGTGCTGGCATGAACTGTCAAAGTAATTATAAGAATACACATTGCTATTTGAATCCAATTTCTTCTTAGATATAGAAAAACAGCTCATTGTGCGGTGATCACTAATGGTTGATAAATTAGATAAATCCTACGAAGAATTAATAGTAAAATTTTATGCAGATAAAATATTTATAAGTAAATATATAATTCTAAAATAAATTATATGTTAAAATTATTATTGATAAACATAGTTATATTTTTTCTCTGATTATAAAAATGTTATTTTACAGATATTAACGAATGCTTACTCGCTGATACATGTCCTCGGTATACAAAGGCCCTTTGTATCAACTTACCTGGTAGTTACATTTGTAAATGTCCGAAAAATTTAAATATGTTAGGTGAAACAGCAGTAATTAATGACAAAAAAGAGATTTTTATCAAATGTGTAGGTAAGACCAAAAACAATTTTCAGTTATTTTTATCTTTATCATGGCCTAAGGTATAAACATTCTTCAATTGTTCAGCTCGCTATTGGTGTAATGAAATCTGCCATCATTATTGTACTATTTCTGGAAAATCACCGTATAAATGCCAATGCTTCGATTATTATCGTTTACAAAATAGCACTTGTGTTCCTAGTTGCGGTGTTAACGATGGAGAATGTCAAAAATATTGTTATAATACTCCGACCGGAACAACATGTAAATGTGATAAAGGAGAACAACTGGCAGCAGATGGAAAAACATGCAAAGGTAAAGAAAAAATCTATAAAACCTTTTAAGAAATTCTTTTAAAAATGTTTCAATAATTGAACATTTTTGAAACGTTATTCTAATTTATTATTTTTTATTTATTTTAAAATACAAATTTTTATGTTGAATCGGGGTTAAATAATTTGTAACTCATTTCGAAACGTTTTTCATTTTATCATAAAAGAATTTTTCTCAAAAAAGCTTGAAAAAAGTTTTATAGCTTATCAAAATGCTTCAAGAATAGATTTATATCTTATCAAAAAGGTTTCATAAAATTTTGAAACCTTAACTTAAGCTATAAAACCAAAATGTAAATCATTCCAACAAATTAGCTTATTATTTAAGTATATTTATTAAATTGATGAGATGAATTTAATAATGGATTTCATTGCCTTACATCGTTAAAAACAGTAAAGGAAATCACATTAGCATTTTCAAAATACAGACTTTTTAAGACAAAATTATATACGAAGATAAATATTGTTTAGTCAAATATCAACAGTTATTTTATTTTTCATTCTACTTTACTTCAGTTTTCCTTCATTAATTTTTATAGATTTTAAAATTGTTTTGATTAACGATTATTAATTAATAATACAAAATATTAGGAATAAAGATAAAATTATCATTAGAATTTCTCATTCCGATAGAAATTCACCAAAATCCGAGAGATTAAAACCACTGAACATCGATAGTTGGTCGCCAGTTCGCGCCTAATCAACGGGCTAGCCACGTGGAAGTTTCTGGATTTTCTTCACGTGTATAATACCTAAATACCAAATATTTAGGTGTTAGACACGTGAAGAAAATATTTAAATAAGGGCCAGTTTCTCATAGAAAGTATTTCCGGGAGTCATCTTATCAGATCACCCAAGTGTTGCGTTGCATTATTGAAATAACATTAATGCAAATTCACTTTAATTCGATCATTCCGTATAAGAAAAAAAATATTAATTTCAGATTACATACTGTATTTAAAAACAAATTATATATTTTTAACATTTAAAAATAGTGTAATCGTTTTTTATTGAGGTTTTGAAATGAAGAAAATATTTGCTTACATTTTGTGCAATTGAACATTTCTTGAATCAAAAATATTTAAAACAATAAAAATATTCTAAAAGAATTATAAACGTTGAACAATTATATTTCTCGCTTGTAACTTACAAATATATAAAAATGAAATTATTTAGAATATGAATAATAGCGAATCATATTTTATACTGAAGACTTTAATAACTAAGAGTAAAAAATTTTCATTCAAGCATTACGAATAAGAATACAAACATAATGCTGCTGTCGTTACCAGTTAATATTTAAGATTAGACAATATAAGGTTATAAGATTTAATCGTTTTTACACATCGAAAAATACATTTTTAAAGAATAAAAAATAAAATATTGGAAAATTTCGCAATATTTTAAACTGAACGCTCTTCCAAATTACTCTAAAAATACAAAATTTATTTATTTTTAGCAATTGTAACTGAGTTATAATAACTATATGTAACAGAATTAGCTAGTTCCAAAAATTCAAAAGTCCGTCTCCAAATCTAAATCAGGATTTAGTAAAAGCAGGCTGACTAATTTCAGAGATAGCTGCAGAGATAGAGTCCTCATCTTCTAATTCACTGTCTTCAGAAATATTAGTAGCAAGTATTCTAAAAGTATTCCGCAAAGCTCTGTTTTGTTTTCTGCATTGAAACATACTACCATCTATTTCATTGTTGCACAATTTTGCTCTGAAGCAACGTTTACTAATATTCCAAATATTTTTATTATATCTTTTATTTACACATTAAGAAATATACGTGCTATTAAATTATGCTATATAGTTACAAATTAAAAAAAATAATTGATCCAAATAACTCGAAAATTCATTAAAAATGCAAAATTTCACACGGATGTCTTCACTTATAATAAGAAATGAAAGTAAGTTTATTTTGGACCCTGCTAACGAGTAATGAACATGCGCTTATTACTTCAAATGCTATTGGTAAACTGAAACAAAGCCTTAAAATCACATCAGGCAGGTATAAAAAAAATTCGTTGCACTGCCTATAAATGGAAACTATATTTTTAAATGTTGCCTGAAAGAAATCCTATGCAGTAAAGGGCTAAGGAATGTATGCAACAATTATCAGGCAATGCTACCGGTCAGTTCACATTGTTGGATTACTTCTGAAGGAAAACATTCCAATCTCTGAACTGCGACAATGCTTTCTTGCCCGTAGCTAACTTGGAGACAATTTTTGAGAAAAACATATCGTGCATCTCATATCCACCGTGCAGTCCAGATTTCCATCCTATGACATTTTCCTATTCCCATTCTTAAAGTCAAAGTTATGGTAAACCCAATTCTGTTTACAAAAGCAGTGGTGAAAACATCGGAGGCGATTCTAAAGATCATCTCACTGGATTAGCTACTAACGCCTCCAAGGATTGGCAGAAACAATGATAGATGTGCATTGAATTCCATGGGGAATAATTAGTACAATATCACAGTCGCTATGCCATAGTGATTATCATGCAAGAAAAAAATCAGCTTCAATTTGTTTTTACTCCTCGTCGTCATTCAACATATAAAATTTAATTGTCGTTGCTTGCCAATTCGTTTCTTTCGATGCGCCTCATAATCATACTTATTCCCGTAGCCCCATCATTATGTACTAATTCTTTTAAAATTTAAAACGCAAATATGAGCAACAAGTAAAACTTTTGAAATTAGCAATTTTAAATCGCATAGTCTAAGTTTTACATGTTTAAGTAATAATGACCAAACAAACAACTTTTGGTCAATTTAAATATTTATTTTTTATTTATTGTTATTATTTTTAATTTCAAAAGACAAGTCGTTAACAATTTGAAGATAAAACAGTCTTCGTTAAAAATGACGACGATATGACATTAAAAACACATACTTTATACACTTGACACCAACCATTTCTTGTAAGATCCTACGCCAACGACACACTGTACTAAACGTTTTCACAATATCACTCTGGTCACTGTTTCATTTAAAAACCATTCGGAAGATCCCTGGTGTAAATTCGGGAATTTAACAATATTTACATAATTACATAAATTTGTATAATTCCAAAAATATAGTTTTTAATGTCATGTCGTCGGTTATTTTAAACGAAGAATTGTTTTTTTCCTCAAGTTGTTAACCTGTCTCTGGCTGGAATTTAAAAACGATAAAGATTTAAATTGACCCAAAGTTGTTTGCTTGGTCATTATTATTTAAACATGTAACAATTTTATATTGTGTTTGGGATGATAACTTTCATTGAAAAGTTATAGACTATTTATAAGCTTCATCTTATCAAAATTAAAGTGACTTTTCTTCAAAATAATAATAAGATTGTTTTTATTAAATCTCATTATGAATCATTATAGAATAGTATTGTAATTTTAGCCTAAATTTGGTTTAGAATAAAATATTACATTTTTATTTCATTCCATTTATCAATGATACAGTCTATCAATTTATCTACTATTTTCTAAATTTCTCCTCGATTAAAAGTCCTCGATTATTCAGCAAGTTCATAATGCATTTAAATTATTATAATCTATCCACTTTTGGCTTTTAAAGAGAATCCCATTAAAGATTCTTTCCCATTAAATACTTCTGAAAATAAAATTTGAAACAAAATTATTTTTCCCAAAATGTTTTCTGGTTCAATCTAATCAAATTAAAATTAACTCAATTATTATGAATACTCAATTATTATTTGCCCTATTGTTCAATTCATAAAATAGTATAAATATTTCATATACTTTAAATTTTACCTACTTTAAACAGAAATTTATTTGCATTCGTTAATTTTTTTTTATTTTTTGTATTAAGCTGCCATTAACAAAAACTATTAGAATTATAATATTCATATCAAATAATAGTTACTAATTAAATAAACAGAATTATCCGAACATTAAATTTTGCATACAATTTTTATTTTTTATGTTCTGAAATTATATTAGACTGTGAAATCATAAAAATTTTATAAAATAATGGATTTTATTCAGGTGCTCCTTCAGAAGAAGCATTTAATGCTCAAATTAACGTCACAGTTGAATGCAATATACCGAATACAGGTGAGAGATATCCGGAGACATTGGTACTTATTTACAATACAGAACGTTTAAGACTTAAAGGTGAAGTATGCCTAACGTATGAACTCGAAGTGAAGCCAAAAGAAAAATATCGAGCCCTTCAATATTATGTAGAGGCATTCGAAAATCCTCCTTTTATATCTCGTGAAGACAAAGTTATTGTAACAAATGCAAAAAAATTATACGAAAGAAGAATTACAATTCAAAATATAGAGAAAAAATTTGCAGTAAGTTTCAATAATCATATTTATAAATATAGAGAAGAATATTTCATATATTTTTAAAATTTCTGAATCATTTATTATTAGATCCGTATAAAAGCAGAAATAAATGTCAATGTGGTATCTTATTTAAGGAATATTACTTTATATCCAGGAAACTGCAGAAGCGGAGTAAGTGTTTAAAATATTTTATTAATATTTTGTAGATACGAAAACAAAATGTTGAAATAATATACATAACAGGTGTACGATAAAAACCAATCAAGGTTTAGCTAACAGCCAATAATTTTTAATTATGCTGCACTTGCTATAATTTGAACGCGCATGGTATGCTATACAATATTCTAGTAGAGGAAAAGGTGGTATTATGGAACACTCCATTTCGAACTGATAATAAAGGCGAACTGTAGCGGAATGTGGATGAACTGAACTAGGCAGACATCCATAGCAAGGGGAAAACCCGTTTCACTTCAGTTAAACGGTTGTCCGTAGTGAATCAGCAAATTTGTGTTTTTCAAAATTCGAAAGTTTTGAATGCTAAGTGAATTTAATTATTTCTAAAATATAAATCGTGTAGTTGTAGGTTCACTGGTGCATGTATTCCGTTCCAGAGACTTGGGGGTATATATTAATCTCTGTGATGTTCATGTTTTTTAAAATTTGGTCTTGAAAGACATAAGTTAGTTCAAGATGGCGATTCCATTGGTGCTTTTAATATAGAACCCAACTCCTCCGAACTCTCTATTTGCAAGCAGACATTCGTCCGGAACAATTTGTGAAAAAGACACTAGGTAGAAAGCCAATTCTTCCTGAGAATATCGAAAAAGAACTGCTGGAATATATATTATTGATGGAGGTTATATTTTTCTATTATAAAAGCATTTTTGCGATAAAATACATTGGAGTAAATAATTTTGTAATTATTTAACATTTTTTGTCCTTTCCTATTTGATTTTGGCTACATTAAAGCATTTTTTGAAAACATACAGTAAGGTTCCATATTACCACCCGATTTTCTCTAAGCCTACTTTCTGACTTTTTGTACAAAGGCCTTCAAAAACCATACTTATAGTTACACTAGTGAAACATCCAATTAGGAACATTTAGTTTAATAGTTACCAGTACTTCTTGCACAAAAAATGTGGGTGTAGTTATGATACCTTGTTTACAATTCACTAAAATAAATGTGGTTCCATAATACCACCTTCTCCTCTATCTTTTTTTGCATTCGATTTTCTGCAACTTTCAAAATGGCAACTAAAGATGTTTTACGCCAAAGAGTGAGTGTACTGAACAACTTTTACACATTAAATAAAACATCAGGAAAAGTTTGCTGTAAACCGTTTTGCAAATGAAAAAATTTCATTTGTAAAACGGATTATATATTGCATTCTCCAATATTTCCAGAGTTGATTATCACCATGGAGGGGAAAAAGGGGTCTATTAGAAAAGCGAAAATTTTAACGAAAGCGTAAATTTGAAGGATTAAAGAAGACCTTTGAAGACAGCGACACGTTTTTAGTTCGATCTGTAGACCCGAAAGTAAAATTTTCATGTAGTTGGCTCCACGAAATTTTGAAATCAAAAAACACTTATTAAACATCAAAAGATAATTCTGCAGGTAATTCTGGACAGAACGGACACGCAAAGATCACAAATTAAGACAAAGTGCGGAAGGTTATTGAAAAAGTTCTCTAAAAAGTTGTTTATTTTGGATGACAAATCTGGTCTTTGTGATAAGTTTGGGTAAAAACAGCACTATTTGGGTTGCTGAAATAATAATTTGGTGACAAATCTTACTTCACCCTCTGGCACTCGACGATCAATGGTAATGGTAGATTTTATACCAGTGTTATCTCTTCTACACCCGCTTGATGTAAAATTTTCCAAGAAAAAGAAATTGAAGGGCAAAGTTTTGATTTGGATTGTAATGTGACCGAAAAGATTAGGTCAAGTCACAATGAGAAAATCACGCTTTGCTATCGACCCCAGAACGTATACTATGCCGTCTGATTCTTTACACTCGAAAGGACTATTCTTAAGCAGAATTTAACTTTTGATTAGATCAGTGGTTCTTAACCTTTTTTGTTGATGTACCCTATTAGCCCATTAGTTGTTTCTCAAGTACCCCTTATATTTTTATATGTAAATTTTATAATTACTGCGTACATAAAAAAGCTCTAACTAACTAATTATAACTAAAAGTGAATTACTTATTTTACGTAAATAATAATAAATTTAATCAGGTACTGTACATACATTTATTTACTGTATTATTATTTGATAAGTATATTATATAAAATCACAGAAGTCATTTCAATACATGCATAAACTACATTTCCTAAAAATAAATAATTATAATTAACAATAAAGAAAATTTAAATTATTCTACAATAATTTCTAACAAAATTTAATGGGATATTTGTTGCAATAAATTTTAAGCAATTTTTACAAAATTTGGTTTCCACGTTGTTAAATAGCGATTATAATTGTGTACTGACCTTGAAAGTAATGGCTGCGAATTTATAACGTGCAGAATAATAAATGAATCTTTCAATTTTTGTAACAAACATAACGTCTAAATTTGCTAAATATCAAGTAATGTGCGCTTACAGTGACACGCATTGCATGGTGGGAGTACGATCCAGGCTTGCAGGTTATTCCTAATACCAGTAGTCCAGTAAAAACACGAAAAGCCCAATCTTATCAAGCAATAAAATTAATGCTCGGTTAAACCGTAATTTTCTAGACTACAGGTTCACTCAGCACTAACTGCACAAATAGACAGACAAATCAAGTGGATAAACAAGTTGTTTAGACTGTTAAAAGGGATATCGGTATTCACACTGGGATATTTTAAAGCAAGTTTTTGTCATTTCTTGTTTCCTGTGTTAATAATTTACAACAAATTGATTAACATACGCCATTTTAAAATGAAAGTTAGATTTGCCCCTTCGATTTATGCTCGTACCCCTAGAGGTACTGTACATGTACCCCCGGTTGAGAACTACTGGACTAGATCAAGCAAGTTCCCACTATGCCAATACTGTACTGGATGTTGCAAAAAAGAAAAAAAATCAACTTCGTCGAAAAGAAGGATAACCCTGCAAACATGTCAGAAATTAGATCATTCGAGAATTTTGAGACAATCAAGGCAACCGTTTACGAAAAGGACGTAAGGAAAAAAACACGAATCAGCTGACTAATGAAAAATGTGAAACAAAGTCGTACTGCACACCCTAAGTCGAATTGACCGCGTTCGACAATGGGGACTTGATTTACAAAAATAAACGATAATGTACAACTTTTCATCCCTTTTCAAATCACTCGTACACAGAGTTTTCTTTTTTCCAAGGTAAAAATATGTTACACAAACTTATGCGTATAAAAATTCGTACAAGTTTGTGTAACGTTTCCGTTACTCAATCGAGTGTAACCAATCCGGACACTCGTTATATTGCTTGTTTCACAAGGCAATAATCTTTACTTTATAAGAGTAGGATTTAATTTTTATGATTTATGTTTTTTCAAATTTTGTAGAAATTTTACATAAAATTATATTTTGATTATCAATATGTAACCGTCTCAAACACCGTTATTCTTTAGGAATTATCGCATACACAGATTTCAAATATACTAGCCAATCAAAGACTTTATTTTACTTAGATGCATTTTGGAAATTACAATATTTCCCTCCTCAGTGGGCTTTCTTTCAAACAAGCCAAACGAAGTGCAAACACTTTTTTGATAAACAGTATTTTATTGTGTAAGAGTATCAAAAAAGTATTTGTGCTTCGTTTGGCTTGTTTGAAAGAAAGCCCACTGAGGAGGGAAATATTGTAATTTCCAAAATGCATCTAAGTAAAATAAAGTCATTGATTGGCTAGTATATTTGAAATCTGTGTATGCGATAATTCCTAGAGAATAACAGTGTTTGAACCGGTTATATATTGATATTTGAAAAACGGAATAGAAGCGGAAAGATAAATTATATTTTGATTGATTTTTTATTGAAAACTAGCTGTTACCCGCGACTTCGCCCGCGGAAGTTTTGCAAGCAAACCCTATTTATATTCAGTATTTCAATAACCATAGTAATTGTTATATAACACCTACCACTGAGAATGATGAGAATTGCCGAGAATCAAACGAACCATTTTCAATTTGATGAATTTACTGGAACGTTTACAATCGTTCTATAATCGAACCAATATGCAATAACAAATTCGAATTTAAAACGATTCGAGCATTTGGTTAAAAAATCGAAATATATAAAAATATTTATAACAATGTCTGAAATGAAATGCTCTCTCCCCCACTGGGGAATTCCGACAAATCCCTTCTTAGTGTGCATTCTCATGGCGTACCCTACTAAAACGCAGTTAGAAACAAAAAATCGCATCTAAAATGTTACAGTAGAAGCCGTTCTTCCGGTTAAGCCTTAATGCTCTCCCTCTCCCCCCGTGGGGGAATTTCGATAAATCCCTTCTTAGTGTGCGTTTTCATGACGTACCCTAACTGTGTACCAAATTTCACCTCTTTAGGTTCAGCGGTTTGCTCTGGGCGATGATGAATCAGTGAGTCAGTCAGGACAAGCAATTTTATATATATAGATATATAAAATAAGAATTCAGGTAACCCCCGTATAACACGGTAGTTACGTTCCAAAAAATTGCCATGTTATGCGAATCCGTGTTATACGAAACACAGAACTAATACGAAAAGGAGGGTTAGGTTCCAAAAATTAAAAAACATGCTAGTATATTTTCATAATTAAGATAAATATCTTCATTAAAATTTTTT